GAATTCCTCAAGCGGCATAACAGCATGCGGGCTGGGAAATTCTGGGAGTTGAAGTCCACGCGTCTTAAAATTGCTGAGATTGGGAGCAGTGTTTTTCAGGCGTACGTATGTACTCCCGAAACCGAAGCAGTCGCTCTGAGCGGTTTTAGCTGGCGCGTAGTGGTCGATTCCTTTCTTCCCGACGGACGGACATTAAAACTTCGTCTTCATTGCATGACGCAGAAATGAGCTACTTTAAAAGACTGGTGTTTCGTGTAAACATCTCCGATTAAAGAGCAAAATTAATTAAAGCAGGGGATATGTGCTATGTTAAGTATATTCATCTACTTACATATGAAGGGCAGCTCTACAAATCCTATACATAAATGTTTGTTAATTATATGTTATCACTGATTGTATCTAACCCTGTGGTCTCTTTTTCTATTACCTGTTGTTTTTCCAAGCAACGTGTTTTCTCCACATAATTGCTTCCACATTATGTGTCCAAAGTAATTAAGCTTTAGTCGCTCCTCCGGTGAGCTGTCCGGTTTTACTTCATCTAGTATTGTTTGATTTCTTCTTCCTGCTGTTGAAGATACTTTAATAAATATTGTGACAGTAAAACTAGGGCTGCCCAATCTGCTCTATTCCAATCTGTAGGGCCATGGTAGCAAAGATGGTAGCAAAGAGATACAGTACTGTACTGAAAATTCAGAGGGTGCTCCCATTTAATAGCTGTCCAGATTTCTACATCCCAGGCATGGTAGCCCTAGGAAAATAAAATCTAGATAGACTTTGCATCCATTTCTGAACAAAGTCATTGCATTCAAGTTAGTGATGTAACGTACTATGATACATTAGCAAAGTTGTATGCACACACACCTAATGCAAATTCATTAAAACTTAATCTTACAGTGTTGATTAGAATGTAGCAATGGCTGTTATAAACATTCTTTGTGACTGAAGAAAGATCAAATAAGTTATATACCTTATTTCCATTGTAATATGAATGCACATATTAGTCATATCAAATCTGGGTTACAAAATAAATACTATTTCAAACAAAGTTCTCTTAATTTTTTGTTATTTTTTGCTTAGCAGGGCCCATGCATCCTTGCTAGCTACCTACTAAATATGGGGAATGTTGTTGCTTCATCAAATTGCTGGAGAGATGGAGAATATTGACTGCTAAATTTTTCCTCTGTAGATACTATCAGCATAAACTTGCCATAAAAAGATTGACAAACCTAAATTAGATTTAGGGAATACATTTTGGAACTTTGAAAAGAGTTCTGTATATGCTATCACAAAATGCCAAAGAGGGTGGCAAGCTCCAGTGAATACACTTCTTCAAAATTTGATAGCTCATGCTATACATATAAATGTTCATCTTTAATTTGATGGTAGTAGTAGGGTTCTCATGTAGAGAGGTACAAATGGAAGAACAGTTTTGATTCAGTTCAATTTTGAACTGATCTGACACTCCCTCTGTTTTTACCAATTCTGCTCTCATATCCCAAATCCATCAGTGGTCTTTCTGTTCTTCCCACTCTCACCTCTATGTCTAGATGAAGTTCCAGACATCAACTCTCTTCCTTTCTCAGAATCTTTTTTGTAGCGCCATGGATGACACGTTTGGCACTCAGGGACACCATAACACCTATGGAACCTTTCACAGGCACTCACAAAGAGGCTGTCTGATGTCTTCCTTCCAAAACTCAATGGCAGAAACTGCAGCCTCCATCAGCTGTTTCCATGCTTTCTTGTCACAAGAATTCTGAAATATCAAAGTATTGAAATGGCAGAAGAAAATCTGCAATTTTGAGAATGGAGTACTTCTGTTTCTATTCTCAAAATCCAGACTTTTGCTACTGTAAATTTGACATATGAGATTTCTTGTACCGGATTGTTCCATGTGGCCCTGATAAAAGCTTTTTTCTCTCTTAATATTCTTACAATACTAATTTTCTCCGTTTTCTCCACATTTTGACCCCTCTGTTTTCACCTAATCTCTAAGGTCTCAATTTCTTCCTGCTCAAATACAACAATTAATACAACTATATTAATAGAGAAGGAAACAAGTTACCTTACTGAATCAGATTCTTTGGCAATACAAGTGTAATTTTACTAATGGTATGACTGGAGAGAAGGTATGCCCCAGAGCTTTTTGACAGAGAAAAGAATAGCTAGTTTTGATTTTTCTCAAGATTGATTGGTTGATTTAAATTTATAAGGCAGTCTAACTCTACAATGACTTTGGCCAGTGCACAATAAAAACATGATCACAATACAGGTAATACAAAAGGGAAACCTCAAACATGTGGGGAAAAACAATCATCCTAGCCCCCAAATTCAGAGGACCTGTCACACACTCAACCCAAGGTCTGGGAGATGAGCCAAGTTTTCAAAGCTTTTTTAAACACAATCAAGGTGGGGGGGGGGATCTCATGTTCCAATGGCATTTAATATTCAATTAATATTATATACTGAACCTATATTTATTCAAAAGAAAAGGTTATTCATCCTACTAGCTTTCTTCACGAAGAGATTTGTTCACTCAGTTGTAAAATCACATACAGAAACAGAAATATTCTTATACAGAAAACGTTTAACCAACATTAGAGCATTGATTATATTAATTTTTTTATTGCCCAGCAGCAACTCATTAGAATCTCAGATAGAGCTCTTTTACAGAAGTGCCAGTAACTTCTAGAAGCATTTTACTGGCAAATGTTGTTTTCAGCTAGTGCTTCAGGATCCACATGTCTGTTGCAACATATATCGGACTGAATTTTTATTATGGATTTATGCTAGTTGCATATGCGATTTGTAAAGTCTCTCCAGTGTGAAAATCCTAAATGCCAAACATTATTGTACAAAACTATAATACTTGATTCCATAGGAAAAGAGTTAGCATTAAAACAGTGTGTATGCAGCCATTCAGGATAAGCAGAGTCAAGAGACAGGCACAGCAGAGATTCCAGGAATGCTCTTTATTGTTGTAGGGTAGAAGAGCAGAATCCTGAAACCTGTCAGAGTTTTTCTCTGCCTCATCTTACAGGAACCAAAATCAAGGGTTATTTCAAGTTTCTTTCTCATACTTTCCTCTTTCTCACGACTGAGTAATCTTTTCTGAAAATCCCCCTTAATGGTTTGCTCATTCTTTCCTCATTCCTAAGGTCAGATCTATATTTCTTCACAAGTGTATATGTACATGGTATATGAAATGTATACAGTTACAGTAGGTAATAGACAAAAATAATGATGTGCATTAAAAAACAAAACATAATCATATCCTATGTTATGAGCTTGGATATAAAGTGAGTCCTGTGGAATAAATGGATGAAACTACTTATTTAACAGGTTGTCTCTCATACTCATATAAAGCAAAGCATCTGATGAAATTGACTACTTTTTCCCTGCAGTGAATACAAAAAGACATAAAAGAACAGAATGCTAATAAAGGAGATGGTCAAAATCCATCTCCGGAAGACCAGTACAACATGATAGAGGTCTGTTTCTCTCTCTCTTAATCTCATTCTCTCTCTCACACACACACCTTAATTCACTAGAAACTGTATGGTTGAACTGATTCAACTTAAAGCATGTTAGAGATATACAGTATCTCCATGATGTTTCTTTTCCTATTGCACCATAAATGGAATTTTGATATACAGTACTGTGCAAAAGTTTTAGGCAGGTGTGAAAAAAT